GCATAAAACTCCTCCAGGCTCTTGTCGAAGCGCTGCAGGGCCCCGTCCGCGCTCTTCCTGAGGGAACTGGTCAGACTGGGGGGCACTGGGAGGGACTAGGGGGGACTGGGGGGGACTGGGAGGTACTGGGATGGTACTGGGACGGTACTGGGATGGTACTGGGATGTACTGGGAGGCACTGGTCACTCACTGGCCGCTGTCGATGCTGCAGTTCTGCACCAGGTTTTGCGCCGCCACCTTCATCAGGCTCTGAGGGGGTCGGGGGTGAAGGGGGGACCCCAAAACCTGGGGAGACCCCCCCCGAGGGAGGGACACGCCCCCTCAGGGGACACGCCCCCTCCCAATGCTAAACCCCGCCCCTTCCCCACACAAACCACGCCCCCTCGGTATCGGACCACGCCCCATTTCACATCAAGTCTCGCCCCCTCAGGCACCGCCCACCTGCAGATCGCGTCCCCCCACGCCCCGCCCCTTATTTAAGCCCCGCCCACCTGCAGGCTCTCCTTCAGCTGCGGCAGCAGGACCCGGAAGCGCTGCACGGGCTCGAAGTCCTGCTGCGCTTGCGCGGCCTGCGCGGGGAGCGCGGGGCCCGGAGCGGCCCCGACCGTTGGGGGGGGGCCCGGCCCCGCTCCTGCCGCCGCTGCGGGTCCCGCTCCCGCTCCGGGCGGCCCCGCGGGAGGTGCGGGGGGAGGCCCAGGGCCGGGCCCAGGCTGCGGCGGCGCCGCCATTGTCGTCCCCGGGGCCGCTTCACTTCCGGCGCGCGGCGCGGCGGGGAGTGACGTCGCTGGGAGCGCGCCGGAAGTGGCGGTGCGAAGATGGCGCCCACCATCCAGACGCAGGCGCAGCGCGACGAGCCGGGGCACCGGTAACGGCCGTGACGTCACCGTCTTGACGTCATGGGGCAGTGTCGTGACGTCACGCGGAGCGCGGGAGCCCCTCCGCGAGATTTGGGGGGTCGCCTGTGACGTCACGGCGCCGATACACAGGGAGGAATGGGGGGGTCCCCATTGTGACGTAACGGCGCGCGCGGGGATGGGTAGGGGTCACTCGTGCCGTCATATTACACTGATGTGACGTCACGCGGAGCGGGGGGAGTCCCCCGGGGGTTTGGGTGGGCTGGGGGTCCTCCGTGACGTCCCGGCACCACTATTTGGAGAGGAAAGGGGGTCCTGTTCTGACGCCATTTATATGGGAGGGTCGCTCGTGACGTCATAACCCTTCACCAGTCCCCCCCTGCCCCCTCCAGGCCCAGCTCG